CAGCTAAAATAATTAAAAATTGATAGGAATGTTCATTTCTAAGGAATGATATTTAATAAGCAATGATTTAGCTATTGACAGAAAACAAAAGTAAAGCAAAGCTAGAGATTAATTTACCAGAGTTAAAATTTGGGACTAATATTAAAAAAAAAATGTTACAGAAAGATTTCCTGGTCTAACCTTTCATACAACTTTGAAGAGTCAGGAAACATCCAGAGACCATCCTCAAGGGTACCATAAAGTCCTACAGGAAATGGTTTTGGCTTAAAAACTAGGTGGTTTTTTATTTGGTGAGTTATTCAGTGAGTCATTCTAACTGTGGCTTCCAGTAACTAGAGTATTTAAGGGAATAAAGTCTGAAAGTGAAATGAATAAAATCAAGATAAAATAAACAAGTTCAGCAATGGTAATAATAAATAATGCTTACATTTGTGTAACACTTTAGTTTATGAGGCATTTTTATTTTTCAAATGAGGAAAATTAAACTGAGAAAGGTAGTGTGCTGAAGGTCACAAAGCTAAAATAATCAGTGTAATGGAGTTTAACTGTATGTTCCAACATCAAAAGTCTACAGCTCTGATTCTTTGCCACCTGAAAGGTGAGCCTACCTGTGCTATGGATGGGCCTAGGACACTTTCTAAGATGACTTCAATGAGAGTAGTTGTTTCCAAATCACTTACACATATCTTTCAACTTAATACCCTGAAAGAATGGGGACGCTCTTTAATGTGCATGGAGAGGGAATCTCCATGCCCTCCACGTTATACTGTGGACTGAAAAATGCCAGGTGCCATGAACTGTGGGTTACATGCTACTATTTGCATAAAAGCACTGAAAAGAAATATATTTAAATGTAGTTTTTTTTGTCCATGCATATACTATCTCTTAAAAGTCACATAAGAAATTACTAACAGTGGTAACTTGCAGAAGCACTGGAAAATGATGGCTAAGGGATCAGGGACAGGAACACAAATTTTCACTGTACATATTCCCTTTTGAACTTTTTGAATTTTGAACCACATGAAAGTGGTTTTGCAAAAAGTGAATTGAAATTTAAGAATACATAATGGGAGTTGGAACAAAGGCAATGGTTAGGTGATTCAAAGTGAAACATTTCAGAAATGGGATGCAGCAGAAGAACAGAGAAGTAAAAAGGTATTACAAAGTTTTTGTCAGACTCCAGAATTCCATGTGGTATTTCACAGTGGAAGTAAGTATTCCTCAAGACCATCAAATTTCTTCCATTCTAATTTTTTGCTCATTAAACAGCTCTCAATTTTTCACTAACCTTGATACTGAGAAAGGAGTGTCCCAACAGTGGATATAAGTATTCAGGTCATCAGAAAGGTAGATCCTTTCATGGTAAATAAGATAGTGTCCAGTTTAAACAAGTCTTTTGTTGTTCCACGGCATGTGGGATCTTCCTGGACCAGGGCTCAAACCCATGTCCCCTGCATTGGCAGGCAGATTCTTAACCACTGTGCCACCAGGGAAGTCCTAAACCAGTCTTTGACGAGGTTGATTAGGGGTTATTCCAGGCACACTGATAAAATATGCAACTGCAGAGCTAGAGACTAAACCTTAGACCAGTATAACCCCACCAAGGGTCTATCCAAAAATGGGACCTGGCCTCAACTAGATGGAATTAACCATTAACATATCTGAAATTTCCAATATGTTTGTCCTCTGTTCTTCCACAACTTAAGTCAGTCCAAAATTTTACCCTAAAGGTCACAATAACTTAAGGGCTTTGGGTGATGAAACCACATCTTTCAGCCTAAAGCAAGTCACAGCATTTTTTTAAAGGCAATACCAAAGCAGCCTCCGTTCCCACACAGAAATTATTTCAATGCCTTAGAGGTACCGGAAACTGGTGAGTCTCATGCTCAAGAGAGTTAAAAAACCCCAGGACCAACAAAACTTGTACTATACAAAGAGAACACATGTTTATTCTCTATTCTGATGTTCAAATTACATATCTAAAGATAATATCATTCTTAACTCAGTTTAAGATTTTTTTAAAAAAGATTTATTGCCAGAGTTATTTTGGAACATTACAAAAATACCTGCTCAAAGGTCTGCAGTTCAGGGCTACATCATCTGATTTTATATTAATGGATTAGCAAGCAGTCACTCACCAGGTCCTATACAATTAAGCTCTCAGTTTTCTAAGGAAGAAAGGACATGAGACCTACAGATAAATACTCAAGTACAAACCTCATTTTAGCTTACAGTTTTAAAATTCCTCCTCCCACTAAGTGTATTATTATTATTATTTATTTTTACCAGAGCTTAACAGCTAACTTAATCTACAGATGCAAGTGTCTCTTCCTTCCATGGTCTGACATTTGTCCACATGATGATTACAACAACTAAAATCAGGAAAAAGGAGAGGGAAAATAAGTAAAAGGAGTTGAAAGAGTGGAAGGGGCTAGCTAATTCACAAACTGGATAAACCGAGGCCACAACAAATGTCTTAACTGAAAGATGACTGACTGACACAGTGTCATCTCCTTTTTAATACAATGGCCGAGTCACTGAAGCCACCAAGCCAAAATGTAAAGCTAATTTGTGAAAAGAAATTGTTTCAGAAACCAGGATTCTACTATCAAGAGCAGTTAATAAAGTTTACAGGGGGCTTCCCTGGTGGCGCAGTGGTTGAGAGTCTGCCTGCTGATGCAGGGAACACGGGTTCGTGCCCCGGTCCGGGAATATCCCACATGCCGCGGAGTGGCTGGGCCCTTGAGCCATGGCCACTGAGTCTGCGCATCCGGAGCCTGTGCTCCGCAACGGGAGAAGCCACAACAGTGAGAGGCCCACGTACCACAAAAAAAAAAAAAAAAAAAGTTTACAGGCCAGCAGTTCCTAGCTCTCATTAAGAATGAATTGACTAATGTTTTATTACCTGATCCCCGGTAATTCTGTTGATAAAGAGCAACGGAAAATTTGGAGGAAGAAGTGATGAATCAACCTCTCTTCCATGTGTTATATTTTATAGGAATATGAGTAAGTATAAGAGTGGTATGCAAAATAGGGGATGGGGGTGGTACTAATCATCAAAATGGCATCTGACTCCCCAAATGTAGCAATGCTCACTCCAGTGGGTTGCTTCACTGTGACTCAAGATCTGTCAACTGAGGACACAAGGGAATTTGAGTAAAACCAAGAGATATACTATTAAATTTTAAACTGAATCTTCCAATAGATATAGCACAAGATCTCACAAGAGTCAACTATAAGAAATTAACTTATTCAATGTAAATTGATTCTAAAGTACTTTTTTAAATGAATTATTGCCAATGCAAAAATTCAGGAGAGAAGTCTGGGGACCTGCTTTCCTAATGGCACATGCCATTTATCCATTGGTAAAGGGTACTAAAATATACTACAAGGTGTCCAAATCTGTATCTGTCTCTGTTCTCCTTAAATAACCTTACTTCTCCGACTTCCCTGGTGGCGCAGTGGTTAAGAATCCACCTGCCAATGCAGGGGACACGGGTTCAAGCCCTGGTCCGGGAAGATCCCACATGCCATGGAGCAACTAAGCCTGTGCACCACAACTACTGAGGCTGCGCTCTAGAGCCTGCGAGCCACAACTGCTGAGCCCGTGTGCCACAACTACTGAAGCTCACGTGCCTAGAGCCCGTGCTCCCAGCAAGAGAAGCCACCACAATGAGAAGCCCGCGCACCGCAACGAAGAGTAGCCCCCGCTTGCTGCAACCGGAGAAAAGCCCGCGTGCAGCAACGAAGACCCAACGCAGCCAAAAATAAAAACAAAACACAAAAACAAAAAAGAAACCTTACTTCTCTAAAATAAAAGGTAATTAAGTGAAAGTGTCAATTAAGCATGTACTTCCTTTCTCAATATTGATAAATACAAATACATTTGAACCTTTGTTGTGTACTATACGCCCAACATGCTATATGGCACACAATCCAGGCAAATTCACTGCATTATGAACAAAAGTAAATTAACAGTAGCTCCCAAAATATATCCCTTTCTACCCAAACCAAAAAGGAAAACAATTTTCCCAACTTCTCCAATTTATATTCCAAAGAATTCAGTAAGAAAATAAGGAAACAAAATATTTATAATCTATCAATTTCGAGTGCAAATATTTCACTAATAACCAAGCTTTCGTAGCATACTGATTTGTATTTGTATCAAATCATGAATCTTTGAGGGCACAGGAAACAAAGACTAAATGGCTCTGCCAATCTACAATGGTCATATTTCACCTTTAGAAGGGTGATGGCCATGAAAGCAACAAATTCGATGTATCCCTTGCTTCCTCCTCCGCACTGATTAAACCAATCCTGCACTACAGACACAGTCTGCTAGTTGCTGCCACCACACACACTTCAGGCCTCCAACACACTCCACAAGCCAGGGCTAGGCTGTCTAGAAGTCCGCACTGTGTCACTGCATAAGGCAGTTCCCCCCTCCACACATCCAGAAAGAGGAAAGCCACCTAAGCGCTCTGTCAGATCTCAGCAAGGCTGTAAAATGACAGATGGAACTGCTAACCAAATAGCAGGCAGCGACGCTCACCACCTTTAAAAATCATTTAAGCAGTTTTCCTCCCCGTCATCTCGCTTCCCCCTGCCCCCACCCCCACCCTCGCGCGCACCACCGCAGTTCGCCCCCAGCTTTGCAAGCGGAAGGCTGCGAGCTCTGGGCTGCCTCTGGACTGACAGTCGGCCCAGAACTCATTCAGAGCCCTGAAATACAGACATTCTCACCTGCACACACCACGCCACTTCCACCCACACCATCACCGCCCCACCCCCCAACCACACACACTCGCCCTCCCAACCTCTCCCCACACCAATCCCGGCGCCGCAGAACACCTAGCAGCCTCATCAGCAACGGTAGCACGCGTTACTATTTATATGATCCGGGCCACCTAAGCTCCAGAGACCGCCCCCACACCACACAGGCCGCCTCCCCCGCGCCGCCCGAAGGCTGGACCCCTCGCCCGCCAGGAGGGATGCGCTACCTTTAGACTGGCAGTCTGCACAAAACTTGTTATCCTCCTCCAGCAGCAGGTTGGCTAGGACCGCCTGGTACCGATCCACGTCCTTCACCGATTTGCCCGTCATGGCCAGGGTGCCGGCGGGGGCAGAGGGCGACGCGCCCTCCTCGCCCCCAGAAACCCCTGCCTCAGTCCAGAGGTGAGGACTCCTGGTCCCCCGCCCAGGGGCACCTCCTGAGCGGGGAAGAGCCCTCTCCCACCGCCCGGCCCGGCACCCCTTCTCGGGTCAGCCGCGCCCGCCCCCCACTCTGCAGCCCCTCAGCGCGGCGCCCCC